ATAAATCTCTCAATTTTTCTATACGTTATTAATAGCTGCGTTCAGAAAACACAACGTGGTTGAGCATTCAATTTTTCTAGTCTCTAATTGGAACTAAACTTTTTGATTCCTGTTAAATTTTAAAATATACCAACGTTAGCGAGCACACACTCAATAGTTACACAATCGTTGCAATCGTCTTCTGAACATAGCCAATAATGAACACTATTGCTATATAACATTATTTAAAGTATTTAAGAAAATTTAGGAATGTATAACGCAGTATGTGATTTGGCAATAGTAAATCAATCCAAATTAATCTCGTAAATGATAATTAAATTAATTCATAAAATAAAAACACATGTAAATCACAAATTTTTGAACTTTTTGTCGCAATATCTATTATAAATATTTTGAAATTTGCGAAAAATATAATGGATCATTGAACGATTTTTTATCCAAAGTCACAAAGATCAAGCGAATTCAATAATTTCAAAGGTATAAATTTTGTATTAATTAAATATATAATTCCATGCGATATTTTCGCGTGAGAAGAGTGTTACGTGAATGGGCCTTCTGAAAAATAACAGTTTTGCAAGTAGTAGATTTTTTTTCTGCGTGCTCTGTACATGATACAATCACGTAGTGCCGTGCGTTATCACCGGGCGATGCGGTCGCAACGCGCCGAGTGATGCATTGTACACGTGCCATTCACCCTGGACACGTGCATGGCGTAAATAGATACAGTCGCCTGTAACGTCAGCAACGGCGTCGCCCATACACGGGGAGAGGAGCGGAGAGGAGAGAAGATAAAGCGAGAACGTACGAAGCAACAGGCTGACATATCAACTCGTGGTGGAATGTATAGATATTGCCGCTTGTCACAGCCAGACATTATCTATTTTAGGCAAATTCGAACGTAATAAATCATAAATAATGCGGTAAGCGAGTAAATTAAGAGAGCCTGATCTTCGTTCTAATTCTCGATTCCTTATATTTGATTTTGCCCTCAAGTCAAACTTTGTTATATGATTAAAAACAGAATTATCATGTCGCAAAATCACGTAAATGTTGTAAATAGAAAATAATCCGGGTATACTATACCTGTCACAAGAGTAAAGAGGATATAAGAAAAAAGAGTATGAAGAAAATAATAAAAAAATAATAAATATAAAGAAAAATAGAGAAACAAACTTACCCAGTTCGGTGTTTCTTATTGTCGTGACTTGCCTCGGCATCAACAACGAGATTGCCCGTATTTTGTTGGGATTGATTTGGATTATGATTCTCCATATAATGATTGTGTGTGTTATGATGATCATTATGATGGTGATGATGCTGATGTTGCTGCTGCTGATGCTGTTGCTGTTGTTGTTGCTGCTGCTGCTGCTGCTGCTGCTGCTGCTGCTGTGGCTGTTGCGAATGATGATGGGAGTGATGATGATGATGTGGATGGTGGTGAGACATGGAATGGAGCGCAGTCAGTTGAACAGATCCGGTTGTCGTCGACGGCGTGAATCGCGAGTTGGAGACCACGGAGGTTCCTCTAGAAGCTATCGAGAGACTCATCCTGTTGTTCTCCAACGGTTCTTCCTCTGCAACATCGTTAGAATCACTTAAGTTAAAACACAATTAAAGATTTAAGAAGACGAGTCCATATTGTTAAGAAATAAATGTCTATTAAATCTATTGAAGTCTATTGAATGTTTAATAATCTATTAAATCTGATTGAGTCTACGATTTTTGTATGGGACAACCATATTCTTTTTTCAAATGGGAATGTTTGCGACCGATATTCGCGTTAGACATCGTACCATATCTATTTGACGCATAGTAGACAATATATTTCCTCTTATAATTTTAAATTTTAGAACTTAAAGTTTAGAAAAGGAAAAGTTGCCTACAAATCAGAAATCAACAATATCTTTTGAAAGATAAATATTATTTACCTTAAATATATCAGAATAAAACATAAAATATCTCCCAAATTCAATGTTCAATATTTTTTCGACTTTCATAAAAAATATTCTATTTTAATTTGCACTAAAAAAATTTAAGACCTTGGAAAATATAAGAAAGAAGTAAACTACCTCTATTTTATAAGTTTTATCAAATGTTTATTTTAAAATCAATAAATAATAGATATTAACAGTAATATAATTTATTCATTCATATATCATCCATTTTAACAAAATATTGATAACACAATATTGATATATTATATTAAAAATAATAAGGAAGAGCAATTAAATAATATCTTGTCTAAATAATATCTGCTTAATGATATTGAGAGACATATTGCCATTCAGAAAATTTTCTATAGCGCGAGTGCTATAGAAGCCAAGATTTTACTACAGCGGCTACATCTCAAAACTTTCATTCTGAATACAGGCACATTCACAGCACTGCAATTCCTGACATTCCACAATGCAGACGACAAAGCTCCTGGCTTGCCATTCTATTCTACGCCTGAGCTTGAATGGCCGCGCTTTCGCCTAAGATTAGCAAGCACTCTTTGAAGTGACGGTAGTCTATCTTTTTGTCAACCATTTATCTTTCGAATAGAACATCAGAAATTATGTACACCGGAACATGTCATTATTGAAAACTACTATGACAAATTATTTAATATATGTGCACGTACGCACGCACATCAGATACTATTCTGTTTTAAATAATGTTTATATAGAAATATTATATAGAATGATTATTAGATAATAGATGATTAGATAATTATTAGAAAAATACAATCGGATGCGTGATGATTATATGAAGTAATATTTGGAATATATAGAATAAAATTTTGTTTTTAAAATTTGAAAATCAAGTAAACTGTTATTTTTTAACGTAAATAATTTTGATATATGTTGTGATATAAATTTGATAAATGTTGCGATATAATAAATCCCAGCAGCAGATATCGAAATATGAACAAAGGTTAATATATTTAAGAAATCAATAAAAATTCGTGAATAAAATGTAATATCCATGAATGTGTACATTATATTAATTGCTAATTGTAACTTGAATGAATGATGGGTTAACAGCTTGCATTATAAAAGTAAAATTATTAAAATTTTTTGATAATCTTTTACTAATTTTTTCTAAAAAAAATCTAAATTTAAATTTAAAGACAGAATTTTTTACAAAATTCCTTGAGTTCCAATATAAAATTCTCCATAAAATTCCAATATTTGAACATTACTTTTTGTAACATTAAATTTTTTATACAAAAACAATTCATCTTACACTTCCAATTATCCTTATTTTTTTAAATCAACTTCTTCCAAAATTTTTTTCTACCGAGTTACTTTCATTACATTTTATGCAATGATGGAAAAATTTATATTATTATAGAAAAAGCATATTTTATTATCCGAATACATACATTCTATTCCGCTTTCAGAATGACCGAAATTCAAATTCTGATAGAGATAACAACGATCGCTATCACGATCGATATTTAGTACTCGAATAGATATGTATGTACAGATAATATTAAAGGATATCTTACATTAAGCTTACATTAAGAAAGTGACGCAAATCTTTGCAAATGGCAATCTAGATATCGAGACGAAAGATAAATCTCTCTTCCCCCTCCCGCCTCCCCCGCCTCACCATCAACTTCTCCCTAACCATCGTTATACGGGCACGATAAATTAGTGCAGCACATGTACACATGTGCAGCCTAACTCATTCATGTACAAAACCTCGATTTGGCAACGGTACCTCGCCGCATAGCTCGCGTCTCTTCTTAAATCTATTCCTAACGCTCGAAGCATGCATCATGCGCATGTATCCGTGAGGGGAGACAACAAGAGACTGAAAAATTGACGACGGCATTGCGTACACGTAGTGTCACTATCTCCCGAAATTAACTTGCGAATAATTTTTATGCAACCTGCAGAATGAAAAAAAAAAAAAACAACTCAGAATTATAAGATATTTATAAGGTTTGCGTACCCTGCAAATTAGAACTTTTGAGCTCGTCACTGATGTGATTGAAATTGTGACAGCTTCCCCAATAAATGATTAAAAAAAATCAAATTTCAATCTACAGTGACGAGTTCAAAATTTTTAATTCGCAGGATTTGAAAGCTCATAAATAGCTTATAATTCTAAGTTGTTTCCTTTTTTTTTATTCCGCGAGGTGGGAGAGGGGGGGAGGGGCAGGTACACAAAAGTCCTCCGTGAATGTTCTCTCAATCAAAGTTTCACTCAAGAAACCAAATTTCAATTTACAATGACAAGCTCAAAACTTTGTGTAGACTATAGACATTTGCAATTTTACAATTTTATTACAATGTAATCAAACTTTGTGAATTAGTGTTTTTAACAAATTAAAGTCTTGAAGTTTAGTTACTAGAAATTTGTAATTTTGTCATTTATTTTTTAACTATAATAATTAATTTATGAAAAACTCTTCACTTTTGCTTAGAATTTGGAAATTATTGACACACACGCGCGCACTTTGATATCTTAATTAAAAAAATTTTCAAATTATCAAATATATCATTAAAAGTCACAGATAATAAAATTATACAATTTTACTCTCTCTCTCTCTCTCTCTCTCTCTCTCTCTCTCTCTCTCCCTCTTTCTGTATATATCTAAATATCATCAGCATGTAATATTGAAATTTTAGTTTAAAATATCACCATCGCAAATTGAGAATTTTCCTTGATTAAGAATTGAAAATTTTTTTCCAAATCTCTTCCAAATTTTACAAGTTACAAGACATTTCTTCCTTCAATCGTCTCTTTTATTTAATTTTAGATATTAATTTTGGATAAATGTACAAACCACCATTAAACATTAGCGAGGTCAAAGAATTACTACTCATTTTCTACTTTGCAGTAGTAAATTTCGCACTCGATATATTTGCATGTTTGCTTACATGTGAGCGGAATCACGGCGTGATTTTCCTTTCAAATGATATGCCAATCGGTTCAACTGGAATTTTTTTTTTCGCGAACGCACAGCAGTTTATTCGGCGTGAGGAATGTATAATGTATGTTACTGGATAACATACCGCATCTGCGCAAAACCACGTGACACTACTTGAAAAGTATTATTATCGTTACTATATCCTGTGTATCCGATTTCTTAAAAGCGCGATACACATTTTTTATTGCGTTTGAACGAGAAAATTTCGAAAAAAGAAAACTTTTTAAATAACAACTTAAATATCTTCGTCTATGCAAAAATGGTAAGTATGGTAAACGAGAGAGAAAAAAAATAATATTTTCATTACACTAAAGTATATAAAGTATATAAAAATGTGAATAGAATGAATCTAAAGTTTAATGATCAAAAGATAAACGATAAAACAAAAGATCAAGACTTGAAATCTGTCAAGTCGCAGCTTGCTGGATCTAGATATAAAACTTGTCACGTTTTAAAGTTTCAATGTTATTTGTTTTGACACAATAAAAGTTACATTATATTATACATTATATTATATGTGAAATAAAAGAGCAAAAGAAATAAAGGCAACGATTGATTCTGTATTCTATATCATAGAATACAGATTGCGTAAACATTATTGATTATATCGTTCAAGATATTGAATTAATATATGTTAATCAACAAGCTGTTAAACAGCATTTTTTGAGCATGAATGTAAAGATAGATCAAGAGTAAGATTTTAAAAAACAGTTCGTAGTCGATGGTTCAAAAGTCAGACATTCGCAAGTCACGATATCGATTGTCGATATCGTTCGAACGATTGGCAAAACTTTTATTTTGCTGAGAAAAATTCCATTCGTGGGAGCAATGTTCGGAGCATACGTCATTTATGCTGACGTAACATATGATTTCCTCGTGAGAATGACCGCGTCAGTTAGAAACGTCCTTCAGAAAGCCGCTCTCTTTCCTTCCACTTAAAGAGAAAGAAATTCGCATGTACTTGCAATCATCTACGTATATTCATTTGGATAATTTATGTATATAAATAATCGGTTGTAATAAACGTTAGAGTTATATTAACTAACCAAAACACTGTTTATAGTGTTGAAACATTTAGGAAAAAATTTGTAAACTTTTCAATACTGTGTAAATATTTAGAGATTGAACGATCGAAATTATAGAGATTAAAAAATTGAATCGCATTAAAAATGTCGTACTAAGTAATATAAGAATTATATATATATATATATATATATATTATAAATGACATAGTAAATAATTCTAATAAATAAATATTACATATATTATCTATTATCTATAATTATTATTATAAACAATATTATATTTATTTTCTAAAATATTAAATTTTACATAATAAGAATTATAATATAATTCTTGTTTTATTAGGTAAATCATTCTTTTTTCGCAATACTGCAAGTAATATTTAAATTTTCTCTTATTTTTTACCATATGTTTCCTATTTTGATCAATGTGAGTCGATTATTTCAGAACTATCTATTAAAACTTACATAAAAATTTACATAACGTTAAGTAATTTTTTGCAAAATTTAATATGCACAGAAGGAAAGGAAAGAAATATAGGCAGAATGAAATATATAATAGACATCATTCTACACTTGTAGCATGTATAATGTTATAAACAAAATAATACACAAAAAATAAAACACAATAAATAATTGCCAATAAATTTCGTTTATAACATTATACATGCTAAAATCATTATACATGCATTCATTAATCACATTCCATAAAATATGTATCATATTATTTATGAGTAATTGTGAGAGTAATTATGTAATAATTGTGAGTATCGAGCTGGGATAAACAATTTTTTTTCTTTTTTTTTTCTGCTTTTTACCAACTACGAGTTTTTCTTTAAAAATCAGTAGTTGCTACCTACTGGCGTATAAAATAATATTTGCATTCTTTACATTTTCTATGCTTTGCATATTTCATTTCTCGCACGCTCAACTTGATAGTCGTAAGATATAGGCACTATTTGACTTGGAAATATCTTTCGAACTATAAATAGATTTCCATATCTTGTATTCGCGGACATATTTCAAATTCATGACCCTCGACGATTCTTGTCGAAATTACGCCGACGAATTTCGTCGTTTTTAGAAAAGCATGCATTGCAAAGTGATAAAACAAGCGATGAATGTCTCTAACTCGAGCCAAGAATCGCGAAAATCGCAGTTTTATCCGACATCCTATAATCGAATAAATGGGACAAGGAGAGCTAAAAGAATCAATCAATCAATCAATTCGAAGAAATAACAATGAAAGATCGCGACAGCCGTCTTATCCGTGTGAAATCGACAAGAAAACGAACTTCCAAGCGGAAAACATAGTAATCATATGTTAATCAAAATTGTGGCTGTTTTCAAAATACATTGAAAGTGTCGAAATCGTGAATTGATAATTCGGTGCGACAGCTAAATAATAAAAATCGTAAAAACATATTTTCAAAAATCACTAGATCCATTTGTGACAAACCTAATTTAAAGAAGTTAAAAATACTAGTATTTTTTTTTTTTTTAATATTACGTATTTTCTTTAACAAGATGTATTTCTTCGAATTAAATTGCTTTAAAATAAATTGAGGATGGAATTATTTAAACTGGGCTAACTCACAAAACGTAAAACAAACTACAACACTTGGCTTATGACGCGTTGACGTCCTCACGTGAAAATAATCGTTGATTTTCTTAAAATTTCGACACACAATTCTTCTGGATAAAAATGTTAACTTCTCAGCATGAGCGTGCAACGACGCTTGGCTGCGAAATGAAATCCGAGAAGTCATCTTTCTCTCTATCTCTCCGCGTCTCGATAAAATTGTAGACAGTTTGCTACACAGTCGCAGGCCACTTTCCGTTACGTTCTCCGCTGCGAACATTTCACTGCCAGCCTTCGACCGAAATATTCACACTATTCGTGAAAATATAACCGTCGACACGCGTCCATTCGCGCACGCAAACGCAAATTTCTAGCTTGTGCAAAATATTATCTCATTTATAACGATATGAAAATGCATATCGCTCATGCTATTTGCTGTTTACTTCGCCAGTAGTCATCAACGATAATTATAAACATTGCATACAGGAGACAGAAATACCTGTAAAGTTTAACAACATCGCAAAAGATAATAACTGTTCTTTTAATTATTTTTTTCAACAATTAAATAGCCCTCCCTCTCTTTCTCTCTTTTTCTCTTTTTCTCTCTCGAAATATTTTCTCCGAAACTCAAAAGTTTTAAATCTTTTGATAGGCCCTTTGTGTTAAATGTGACATTCATAAAAAATATTTTTTTCTATCTTTTATATAATTATGCAACATGATAAAACTCGTAAAAATTATGAAACTCCGTTATATCATGCAAAAAGCATGCGTTCAATTTTACATTTAGCAACAAATTGATAGAACGAGGTGGTGCTATTTTATGGTCATCACATTCGCTCGATTTTACGCCTCCCCCCCCCCCCCCACTAGAGTTTTAGAAAAAGAACGATTTAATAATTTTTATCAATTAATGTGTTACAAAATATGCTTTACATGTAACATATATTTATCAGTTTAATTTTATTATAAAGCTTCTCTTAACTTTGATTTTTTGCGATATAAATTTTTTTGTGATATAAATTTAAAATATCTCAGAAACCTTCTAATTGAACAATTCGATAATTTAAATAAACATGGCTACACTTAAAAATTTTTCAAATTTATTAAAAAATTAGAAAAAGTTACATAGGAATAAATAAATAACAAAAAATAATAAAAAAATAAAAAATAATTAATCAAATTTCCAATTTATATCTGATATTTATTTTAATTTATGCAGCCATTAATGGAAAAACGCAATACATAAGGATATGTAGCCCTCATATCTCATAAAAAAATTCATCTAAATTCTTGATATGATGTATAAAGGTCATGTGCATTTCATAAAAAAATCACGATATATTTACTTTACATAAACATATGAAGTATTCCGTTGCATAAGTAGACTAAGATTAATAAAAAATAAATAGATAAGTTTTATTCAACGGAAATATCAAAAACCGATTATTTAACATAATCTATAACATTATTAATCTATAATATTGTTTATTTTTACTTCTATACTTTTTTATAATTATACTTCAATTAAAATTTCATCATAAATAAAAAAAATATTAGTTTATGCTTAATCTAGTAACATTTAAAGATTAAGAATTTTGTTACTTTCAGTTGTTCGTTAAAGAGTTATTAATGTTTCTGTTGAAATAAAATTGACCAAAGAATTAACTAAAATAATGACAGTAACTAGATATTCGATATTTAAAAAATATTACTGCAAACAATTATTATCTATTTGCTTAAGGAATGTGTTAACTATTAACGAGAGGGAAAATAAATGAAGAATTTTATACATTTTCCAATAATTTTTAATAGAAAGTATAATTTAAATAAAGCAAGTAATGATTGGATAAAAAGGCATAGTTAAATATCATATATATATACAAGTAAAAGTTGAATGAATGTACGTTGTCGAGATTTGCTTCAATATTTTCAAAGTGAGAAAACTTCTAAAAGACAGCAGGCTGTATGTGACAAGTGATTAAAATTTACTTCTGCCACATACATAAATTTTTCGAAGCACTAAAATGTGTTATTAAACATCTTGAGAAATTTTAGAGCGCAAAAAAAAATGTTTTTAGATAATGGAATCAGTCGGCTGCCGAAAGAAAAAAATTAAAATTTCAATAGAGTGTCATTTGTTAAAAATTTTATTTGTAAACGGTTCAAAATCGGAAGTCGACAAAATAAATCTTCGGCATGAAATCTGATTTCGCGGAAAGATCCCATTTTATTTGTAAAATCGTAAAACGCTTCTAGCATCAAAAGCTTTGTTTCCAAGATTATTCCTGATCATTACGAGGAGCGTTCGAAAAGTAAGAACCAATGTATATCTATCAGATACATTATACAATAGACTCGAATAAATTCCAAATAAATTTATATTAATAAATTTTATTGAATATTGGACGTTCCCTCAGCCCTCCCCCTTGAAAAATCAAATTTTAATCCACGGTGACACAAGTTCAAAATTTTTAATTTGCAAGATTCGAAAGCTCATAAACACCTTACAATTCTGAGTTGTGTGCCTTTTTTTCATCCCGCAAGGTGGGGGGCACCAGATGTACAAAGGTAAAAAAAAAAAAAAAAAAA